GTAGAAAGTAGAAAATACAGGATAGATTTTGGGGAATGACCAACAATCATCTCGGCTTGAATGTATAGTACTGCAAAGATAGTGTAGAACCAAATAGAGAAGTTTAATCTCTGTAGTGGATTTTGGGTTTTATTTTGTTGTTCCTGGCCATGCATAGTTTTTAATTGGTAGAAGGATATGATCAGATCTGTGCTATAAGAGTGTAACTGTTGACAGTTTGAATCAAAGTGAGATGGGAGTCTTAATAATATAGGAAGCCTCTGTAGTAATACAGAAAGACATGATGAGGGTAAGAGCCAGAGTTATGGAATGGAAATAATGAATTTAGAATAGATTTTTAAAGATAAAATAGATAAGTAAAACATATTAAATTGAGGTTTAGGTCTGGAGAAACTGAAATGGTAATTTATGAAGATGTTCTATCTATTGAATAAAAAAATCTTTTGTTTTTTTTCAGACATCTTCTATTTTTGTGCCTTTTAAGTATGTTTTATGAAATATTAAACTTAGTTTTGAATAATTGTTTTGGTTAGATTAAATTGTTGTTAAGTCTTGTTTTCATATTGAGGGGTGCCTGGCTGCCTCAGTTAGAAGAGCATGCTACTCTTGATCTTGGGGTTATGAGTTTGAGCACCCCATTGAGTGTAGAGATTACCTAAATAAATAAATAAATCTTAAAAAAGAGAGTCTTGTTTTCATATTGAATAAATGGTTTTTATTTTTAAGACAGTTTTTTAGTTAAAACTTTTTAAATTGCAAAAATATGGGCATGTTTAAAATATTTAAATAGTAAAAATTTAAAGGTAAAAAGAAGTCTTCCCTTCACCTAATTCTCACTTCCCTAATGGTAACCACTATTAACAGTTTGTTGTATTCAAATGTATGTGTGCACTCGTGTCTTTATGTGATTTCTATCATGCTACCTTTATAAAAGTGGGATCCAGTGTAGTTTCTCAAAGTAGCAAAAATAGTTGTGTTCATTTACATGTCCCAAATCTAGTCTTTCTCTATAGTAACAAGAAGCTTCTGTAATAACAAGAAGTGAAAGCATATAAACTTGAAATTATGCTTTGTAATCAGTGTTTTAGCATTCTGTTTTACTTAGAAATGATCTAGTAAGTCAGTGATTATTCATTAGTTAATTCACTTTTTTTTAAGTTACCTTTAAAGTTCTTGAAAATTATGAGTAAGCTGACACTATAAAACATAATTACTGTTGAAATAAAAAGCTTGTCAGAATAATCATTCAAATTATTTTTTTAAAGATTTTATTTATTTATTTGCCAGAGAGAGAGAGAGAGAGAGAGAGAGAGAGCGCGCGCGCACGCACAATCAGGAGGAGTGGCAGGCTGAGGGAGAAGCAGGCTCCCCGCTGAGCAGGAAGCTGGATGCTGGGCTCATCCCAGGACCCTGGGATCATGACCTGAGCTGAAGGCACACGTTTAACCTACTGAGCCACCCAGGCGTCCCAAAATAATCATTCAATTTAAACACAGATTTACATTTTCATAATCTTAAACATTGTTGTATGAGTAAGAATGGTTTATTTGATCATCAAACGTATATGTGTTTCATTAAAGTTACTCTACTGGAATAAAAACAGATGCTTATGTTATATTTAACACTGATAAAAAATCAGAAGACAGACTTGTTTCATTAAACTAGTTTTGTTTGCCAGATACTTAACCTTAATTATGTGAACTTGGTTCTTAAAACCTTTCTGAGTTAGTTTCTGTAAGAATAATTTTTAAAAGTATAACACATTTAAAATATTAGAAGATCAATTTTCTTATTATCTGGGAATTTTGATAATCTGTATAAATGCATATTTATCTCTATAGGCTAATCAGAACAGAGCTGCTTTAAGAGACTTTATAATCTAATTTATTAATAACCTCCAGGGGTAGGAAAGTAATATGTACTTGGGATGAGAAATAAAAGACCTTTCTGAATTATAGATACATAGCCTTACAGACACTCAGAGAGTTTATCGTTTCCAATTCTACAATTTTAACTGTGGCTACAGAATTAACACAGAAATACAAAACCTGACCTGTCTAGATACCAAAGGGCTATTCTTCTTTCTGGTCCGTGTGAGATTCTTAATTGATTTGAATTCAGAATAGGTAAACAGAAGAGATAAATGAACAAATCACCAATGGATCAAATTCTCCTTTTTGTCTCACCCAACACAGAATAGGTCTCTATAAACCATCAGGGATTAGTAAATGGCAGTCCATGAAATCAAACTCTCAATCATTGTTACAAAGTAATTTTTTTTCTGCCTGCATTCCTGGAGAATGACTTCTTTATCCATCCTTGATATTTTATTAACCTAGATATGTACTTAGATCTGTGGTTTAATTTTCCTTCTGTTCTGTAGATTTTTTTTTTCTCCTTTATTTTTGGGACAGTTTCTCTTATGTCTACCTGCTTTTTCTCTTCTATTTGTTTAGTTATTCTGTGTCAGGGATACTAATGATCTTTACATTCAATCTCTGTCCTACATCTTCTATCTCAGTGCTCTGATATCTTTTTTTCTCCTCAATACTCAGGTTATTTTAAGACTTTTCTCCTTGCCAATTAGTTTGATTTTTAGTCTTTGTTTCTTTACTTCCTAATTGATTTCCTTAGCTGATTTTAATTTACCTGTTTTGTTTTTTTATCTTTGAATTCTTGTTGTATTAAATGTTTGTTGTTATTAGGTTGTTCTTTGTTAGAAAGAACTCACTGGGAATTTCCTTATTTCCTTTTGTGTTTTCTTTCACTCTCGGTTCTTCCTTTGTTCTGCTTGCTATAGTCATTATTTGTTTCTCTCCTTCCTTCTACTCCCTTGTTTATACAGTTGTGTGGCCATTTCTTTTTATCTTTCTAGGTAGAGACTTAACTAGCTAGATCAAGACTTGTATTTGCCCTGATAGAACATGGGTGAATTCCCATTGATTCCTTTTTCATCTTAGCTATGATTTTGTCTCCTCCTTTTACTGCACCCCCTCAATAGACCTTTTGAGCAGTTGTATGCTGTTCTCTGTCTGCTTCTCTGTGATCGAGGGGTATAAGGTGATGTTGTGGGAAGAACTCTTCTGATGCTCCAAGCTCTCCTGTCTCCTTAGGTTTTGTTAAATGTCTACTAGCCTCACTCCATCCTGCTGAGGGTATAGTATAATTTTAGGGGCTTCAGACCCTTCCCTCAAGTCAGAATAGTGCCTTGGTAGTTGATAGGTTCTGGTCCCACTGTGCCTCAGCTGAGATTTCAGAGCTTCTATGCTGAAGGTGTTTTCCTGGACTTTTCTAAGGCATGCCAAACCAGTTTCTATCCAAACTGGAGGATGCTTATTAAAACCTTGAAGTTTTATCAACTCACCTATTTTCCCCATTACTGCTTTCAGGCAGTGTCATCAGGCTAGGAACCAGACCACATTGTACAGAATCTTTTTCTGTCCACTAGTTTTTAAAGTTTAGAGGTTAAAGTTCAACAATTTTTGTTTGAAGCTGGTGACGTTTTGGCTAAAAATTGTATACACACACATGAATATATAATCTTTCTCTTTTATTAGTTACTGGGGATAGGAAGTTCTGAAATTCTGCTTCACCCCACCGTCTTTACTTGAATGTCTGTATGATTTCCTAAATATTTACTTTTGACATAATAGCATATACATACTCTAGAAACTCTCAATTTTTAAAGTATAGGGATGGCTTACTAAAAAAACGAAACCAACAAATTACAGTGTTGTAAGAAAATGATTTTAAAAACCATCGGTGCCCCTAAGGCATATATTTTTCTTTTATTCACATTTTGTACTTGTGTATGCTTTTGTAGAATTTTTATGTAATCGCAGCAAGCATATAGTGAGCAGTAAGCATATAGCATATTATATTTCTGTTAATGTTAGGATAAACATTTTAATATTTCTGTCTCATCTTTGTAATCTCATCATGTGACCATGACATATGTCCTACCTTATTAAACAGTTAAATAAAGAACACTAGCTGTTTCTAGTTTTATGTTCTTATCTGTGCATTGAACCCTTTTGTGTTTGTTGTTTTGTGTTACCTTTAAAATAAATTTGGAAGGTTGAGATTAGTGGACTAATCAACTTTATTAAAACCATTATACCTTTCACCATGACACCTACTGTAGTATCTATTTATTTTACCAGTTGGAAATTTTTTTGAGATAGTTGCTTAAAATGATACCTGATATCTCCACTGTTAATGTCAGAGAATTTTTTTGGCATTACTGTATTTTTTTTCCTACATCCTACCATGATTTTAGTAATGAATTTTAAAAATGTATTCCAGTTTTTATAAGATCACATATGCTTTAAAAAATAACAAATCACATTTTCTTTTTTAAAGGAGATAATACTATCCAAAGTGAAAAAAATAATTCGGATTGGAAATTGAAAGATGTGTTTTTTATAGAAGTGTTTCTTTTTTTTTAAGATTTTATTTGTTTATTTGACAGAGAGAGACATAGCGAGAGAGGGAACACAAGCAGAGGGAGTGGGAGAGGGAGAAGCAAACTTCCCGCAGAGCAGGGAGCCCGACGCGGAGCTCCATCCCAGGACCCCGGGATCATGACCTGAGTCGAAGGCAGACACTTAACGACTGAGCCACCCAGGCGCCCCCGAAGTGTTTCTTTTTTTAAAAATACAGTCAACATAGAACACTACATCAAAAACTAATGATGTACTGTATGGTGACTAACATAATAAAAAAAATACTGTCAAAATTGGCAGTCTAGTTTCATTAATTCTGGATTTTGCTATCATGCATAGCTTAAGTTTATAAAAGTATTTATAAAAATGTTCTTTAGTTTCTCCTAACATTAATTTATTAATTACTGCATTCAATATTTATTAAGAGTTTTGTAGGAATCATAAGTAGGTTTTGGGCTTTGCTGCATTTCATTGTCTATGAATATACTTATTATGTAATAACCCATGTAATTTTGCTTATTTAGGAACATTTAATCTACTTTTTTGTCTCCTCAGATTCTGTCAAATTTTAAGAACAAATGCATCTTATAGCTCATGGAAGAAAAAACACAAATCAAGACATTTTTGGGTTCCAAATTGCCAAAGTATGGAGCAAAATCTGTGAGAAGTACACTGCAGCCAATGCCAAATGGGACACCTGTTAATTTATTGGGAACTTCCAAGAGTAGCAACGTCAAAAGTTACATCAAAAATAATGGCTCTGATTGTCCATCATCCCATTCATTTAATTGGAGAACAGCAACTAAATACCAGCTCAGTGCACAGAGTGTTGAAGAGCGTAACAGTACTCAAACTTCACACGATAAAGTAATTGATCCTGAAAAGCATGCACCTACTCAAGGAATGTTTGATAAAAATGGGATAAAGGGAGGCTTGAAAAGTATTTCTTTACTCACATCAAAGTTAGCAAAGCCATCCACTATGTTTGTGTCATCTACAGAGGAGTTAAACCAAAAGTCTTTGTCTGGACCATCTAGTTTGGGTAAATTCACCAAAGGCACATTATTAGGAAGGACTTCATATTCTTCAGTCAGTGCTCCAAAATCACAGTTGAATGGATTGTATGGGAACCGTTCAGCTGGTAGCATACAAAGGCCTAGAGCAAACTCCTGTGCCACCAGAAGCAGTTCTGGAGAAGGCTTAGCACAGTCCCTAGACAATATTAAATCTCTTACTTGTGAAAAAATGGTAAGGTCACAAAGTTTTTCACATTCCATTCAGAATTCATTCCTTCCACCTTCATCTATAACCAGATCACATTCCTTCAATAGAGCTGCAGATCTTACAAAGCCTTATCAGAACCAACAGCTACCCATTAGAGTGCCTCTGAGGTCAAGTATGCTAGCAAGAAATTCCCGACAGTCAGAAGTACTCAATGGAAATGATCACTTAGGGTTTGGATTTAATAGGCCTTATGCTGCTGGTGGAAAAAAGTTGGCTTTACCAAATGGCCCAGGTGTAACTTCCACTTTGGGTTATAGGATGGTTCATCCCTCTCTACTGAAATCTAGCCGACCTCCATTTTCTGGCACTATCACAGTTGATGGTAATAAAAATTCACCTGCTGATTCATGTGTAGAAGAAGATGCTGAACTTACGGCTGAGGACAGAGCTACTAATAAGGACCAAGAACTAATTGAAAATGATAGTTATAGAACAGAAAATGACCAGACCATGAAGCATAATGCTAAAATTAGATACCTGAGTGATGATGTGGATGATATTTCCTTGTCGTCTTTGTCATCTTCTGATAAGAATGATTTAAGTGAAGACTTTAGTGATGATTTTATAGATATAGAAGACTCCAACAGAACTAGAATAACTCCAGAGGAAATTTGTCTCAAAGAAGAAAAGCATGAAAATGCACCATCGAAGGATGTATTTGATTCCCCCAAGGAAAATGAAAAAAGTAAAACTGACGAGTGGTTAGATATAAGTGTCTCTGGTAAATATTAATATTCTTAAGTTTGTTTGCTTTTTCTTAGATAATATAATTGAACTTATATTTAGGATTACCTTTTGATTAATTCCAAGATACTGTCAATTTTGTGGAGGGATGGATCTAGATAAAATTGGGGTAGGGCAACTTTTATCTTCCTGTGACTTTTGCTCCCGGTCTTATTTTTCACTATTTAAAACAACAATAAAAATATTCTTCCCTAATGTATCTTAACTTTGTTCTTCTTTGACTCTCATGTACAGGCCTATTCCTACTGCTTCAGAATTTTTTCTTTTCCCCCACTTCCCTAAATAGTGGCATGCCATTTTAGACCGTCTCTTCCCTTATGGTAATAGATGCTGTTTGTTTAGAGTAAAGCTGTGCCAAAGGGTGAATTAGCTAATAATAACATAGGTTATGTCCAATCTAATGAATGTTTTTATCCTAGGAAATTTTCATTTTTTTTAAAGGAGAACTTAGATTTCTTATAGTTATACCTTCAGAGGAACTTTATTTTTTTAACTGAGGAAAGTGAGATTAGTACCTATTAAACATTTCCTCTTATACTTGGTCATCCTGGTACTAAAAGTCTGGAGAAAATATATCTTTGTGCCCATATAGCCTGAAAAAGAGCAAACTGAAGGGATTGGGTGTAGGCATGTGATCTGGTCAAGGGTCTAGGCCATGAGATGTGGATAAACCCTTGACTATCTGAGGGTCTTCTAGTTAGAAGTAAATACCAGAACAAGTGTTTCTTTTATAAGGAGGCAACTGCAAGGTTAAATGATATATACAGAGTAAGGAGTTTCATGGCCAGTGTATAAAAGTAAATATCTTAGGAAATATTAAAAGACTATGAAGCTTTATTTATAATTTTAGAAGTGTTGCAGAAGTGAAAGATGGCTCCATGAATTTTCTTTCACATAATGTATTGGGACATTTCAGTAGGTTATTTAAGATTTTATCTCTGGATCTTTTTTATTATTTAGGATTTAGAAAATGCTATAGTTACTAATACTTTTTTGCCATTTTTTTTGCTATAATATGTTAAATTATTAGAGTTTATAATTTATTTTTGAGAAATGTATTTTTGTGAATTAATAACCTTTTTTTTCTTTTTCTTCTTAAAAAATCAATTGAAGACAGGAGTGAATGTACAAAACATACTTCTGGAAATAACTTGATTTCACCAGATACAGATTACAGAGCTGGTTCTTCATTTGAGCTCTCTCCATCTGATAGCTCTGATGGAACATACATGTGGGATGAAGAGGGTTTGGAGCCCATTGGAAATGTCCATCCAGTTGGGAGCTATGAGTCTTCAGAAATGAATAGCATAGTACGTATGAATTTATATATTCTTTTGCAACATTTTGTTTACCTTACTATGGAAAGACTTGTGATACTGCTTGGATTTTAAGTTTATAAATAGCTCTCCTAGTTTAAGAAAAGGAAATTCATATCTGTTAAGAGCCTACAAAACATCTGACCTTAATACATAATAAAGCATATATTTGTGTCACATGACACGAGTTAAATACACTGTCATACATTATATACACACATGTATATATAAATAGATATACTGTATTCAGGTTAAGCTAAGCTAGTGGTTCTCAAATTTGGGGAGGAAGGCCACGTCTGGATCTAATTTTGGTTGTCATATTGAGGGGCGCTACTGACAGCGGGAAGATGCCAGGGATGCTGCTTAATGCCCTACAGTGGTATCCACAGCAAAGGATTATCCAGCCCAAGATGGCAGTAGTGCCACTATTGAGAAATCCTGGGCTAGGCTATGCTGAGGTGACATTTAAGTGTTAACTCAGTGGCTTAACACAATGAAAGCTTATTTTTTACTCTTCCAAAGTCTACTGTAGGTCTGGAAAACTATATAGGGCAACTTCAGTGTTCTCAGCTGCTTTCATCTTCACCATCTTCACCATCACCAAAACTAGGTGGCTTCACCATTGCCTTTTGAGGCCCCATCAAAAGGTCACTGTTGTAGAGGAAGAATGCTGCTAGGTCTCACATGTTGCAATTACTTGCCGTGGCCTGCAGATGGCACGTGGTACTTTTACTCACAACCTATTGACCCTATTAAGTACTAACTGGGCAAGAAGTGTAAATTTTCCTGTGTGCCTGGAAGGCAAGGGAACCAGATATGGGTCAGCACTAGAAGACCTACCATACATTATTATGTGCATATTTTAAGAGACATTGCAAGTAATGTGGTTAATATGCCACATGAGTAAAGTGTAGTTGGGGTGTTTAAAGTGACTCATTGTAATTACTCAGTATATAAAATACGATTTTCCAGTAGTTGTATGGGAAAACTGGTAGTCTTCGTGGATATACTAAATTCCAAGTGGATTTTTGGCAATGTAATTTTCTGTGCTCTCATAAACCTGTGCCTTGGAAAAAATAAACATTACCAGGGAATTGTTAAATTGCACAGACATAGAGAGGACACATATTTAATTTAGAGAGAGTATCTCTATCTCATTAGATAAAGGAAGTTTAAAAAAGTTGGTAGTTTTAGGGCCTTATGTGCTTGCTTACCAGGACTTTTTAAACCAAGTATGATCAAAGTGGGAGTGAATATTGTGTCCAGCAGATGGTAGCAATAATCCACTTAGTACCTGACATCTTTCAGAGGTTCCCACTATTTTCAGTTCACTGTTCCTATAACTTAATGATGCCTCTAAAAGAGTTCAGAATGCACCTCGAGGGGCGCCTGGGTGGTTCAGTCGTTAAGCGTCTGCCTTTGGCTCAGGTCATGATCCCAGGGCCCTGGGATCGAGCCCGCGTCGGGCTCCCTGCTGGGCAGGAAGCCTGCTTCTCCCTCTCCCACTCCCCCTGCTTGTGTTCCTGCTCTCTCTCTCTCTCTCTCTCTCTGTCAAATAAATAAATAAAATCTTTAAAAAAAAAAAAGAATGTACCTCGATTGACCATTAGTCTTTAAGATTTCAGAGCTTCTGATTTAAGAGGAAAACAGTCTGAGAAAGGATGGAGAATTGATGGTAGATGTTCAAAAAAGTGTTAAGATCTCCTACTGGGATGGTGGACTTAACATTTTTGTTCTGAAATTCTATCAGTTTTTGCTTTTTATATTTTGAGTGTATTTTGTTAGGTGTGTACCTGTTTAGAATTGTTTTCTTGGTGAAATTGGACTTAAAGTCATAATTTAGTGATCTCTATTCCTCATGCTTTCTGTCTTAAGGCCCTTTTTTCAGGTATTAGTATATTTTATCATTTTTATTTATATATGTTCCATGCTTTTATCATGAACCTTTTGATACATAGCAAAAAGGTTATAATTTTTTTAAATTACAATTTCTCTTTTTCTTTTAACCTGTGAATTTAGTCCTTTGATGTTTGCATTTATTGATATACTTGGACTTCATTCTGCCATCTTACTATTTTTAATTGTCTCACTTTTTCTCCTTTTTTTTTTTGCCTAGAATAGTTTAAATGAATATTTAAAACTTAATCCAAAAAGAACTTTAACATATTCTCATTTTTCTTGGTCTCCCTGTCCCTCTCACCAAAGCCCATGTCCCCACCCCCTTCACCCCTAGTTCCCCAGCCACCATCATGGTTGTTCTCTACAACAGTGCTCCTTCCGGTCCAGGTCAAGATAAGGAGCTTTCATTAGAATGTGAGTCAACTGTGTCACTACTAACACAGTTTAGTTCAACCCACTATTTAGTTTAGTTGATATTGTTTTCATAGTAAAACTTTCTCTTTGAAAAAAGCAATGCGTTGATATGCATTTTGGTGGAAGCTCCTCCTTATCTTTGTCATGGACCCTAACAAACAGTTTGTAGACCACTTTGCATAGTGCTTATCTAGAATCTAGGTGATTTTTTTTTAAATATGAAGAGTGTTTTGTTGAGGTGTAATTTACATTAAATAAAACGCACAAATATTTTTCATACAGCACAATTTTGAATATTTTTATATAATTGTTTAAGTTATCCACATTGTGATAGAGGATATTTCTATCACCCCAGAATGTTTCCTGTGCTTTTCAGTCATTCAACCCCTCCCCCAAAGGCACACCCTGTTTTGATTTATATCACTGTAGATTAGTTTTGCCTATATTTCATATAAGTAGAATTATAAACATGCCTATTTTATATCTGGCTTCTTTGAGTCAATATTTTGTACTTTTTATAGTTTGTTTCTTATTATATGATACTCCTTTGTGTGAAGGTAGTACAACTTACTTTATCCTGCTTATTGATAGACATTCAGGTTGTTTCCAGTTTTTGGCAACTGCTACTGTTGGGAAGATTTTACTACATGTTTTTGGGTAAACATTTATGCATTTCTGTTGGTAAAATGTGTAGGAGGCGCACCACTGGATTATTGGGTATTTATGTATATAGCTTCAGATGCTATTAGTTTTCCAAAGTGGTTGTACCAGTGTACAGTACCACTGGTAGTAAATGAGCATTCTAGAAATTCCACTTTCTTTTGGTGTTGTCTGTCTTTTTTCATTTTTGCTATTCTGGTGGGGGTATAGTATTGCACTGAGATTTTTGTCTTGTGTTTTGTGATAACTGCTTGTTGAGCACCTTCACCTATGTTTATTCACCCTAAGATATCCTCTTTTGTGACATGTCTTATATTGAGCTGTATTTTTTTTTTTTTGGTTTGTAAAAACCCCTTCGTATATTTTGGATATAAATTTTTTTATATACATATATACAAACACATTTATATACATGTATGTGTATATATTTCATACATATGGGTTGCTTTTAAAATCTCTTAATAGTGTCTTTTGTTGAGTAGAAATTAACAATTTCAATATAGTGTAGTTTACATTTTTTCCTTTGTTTTTAGCTCTGTTTTGAACTGCAAAATTTTCGTTTACCCCAAAGTCTTAAAGATATGTTCCAGTGTTTTCTTCTAAAAGGTTTGTTTTTTAGCCTTTTACATTTAGATCTATGAGACATCTGGAAATTATTTTTGTGCATGTTATAAGGTAGAGGTCAAGATTAATTTTTTTTCTTTTTTTGAAAAGTTTTTGTTCCCTACTCTACTGCAGATTTATCTTTGTTATAAATCAGTGATTGTATCAATATATTTCTTGACTCTCTTTTAGTTCATTGGTCTCTTCTTTTATCCTTGGGTCAGTGCTATACTGTTTTTATTTCTGTAGCTTTAAGTATTGACATCTGGTAATATAAGTCTTACAGCTTTTTCTTTTCCAAGGTTTCCCTAGCTCACCTTTTGCAATCTCTTTAATTATTAGAATGAACACGTCAATTTCTACAAAGAACTTTCAGGGATTTTGAATGGGATTACATTAACTTTGTAAATCAGCTTGGGGAGAATTGACACGTTTACTATAGTGAATCTTCCATTCATGAATATGGTGTGTTCTTCCATTTACTTGGGACTTCAGAAATATTTCTTGCTAATGTTTTCTATAAAAATTTATACATATTTGCTTTATTTTTAGGTATTTGATTTCATCAGTATAAATGGTACCACTTTAAATTTTTATTTTCTTCTTTTTTGTTGTACGTACAAATATATTTGATTTTTGTATTTTGAGCTGTTTTTCCAGTGACCTTGGGGAATTCACTTATTAGTTTTAATAATTGCCTGGAATTTCTACATATATTGTGACATCATACTGTTTGCAAAGTCTCCATCTTCCCATCCTCCCTTTTATTGGATGTGTTAGGACCTCCAACATAATGTTGAATTGAAATGGTGATAGAATTTCAGCAAGGTTTTAATAGTCCACCATTAAAATTTCTGTGTGTGTGTGTGTGGTGGGGGTGGTTATAGATATCTTTCATCAGATTAAGCAAGTTCCCTTTTGTTTCATTTGATTTTTTTTTTTGTGAGTAGATGTTAATTTTTCTCTACATTTATTAAAATCATCAAAATTTTTTTTCCCGTTATATGTTATCTGTTAGTGTGGTAGATTACATTTCTTAATTTTCAAATGTTAAACCACCTTCTATTCCTTCTATTCCTGGAATAAATTCACTTGGTTGTGATGTATTATTCTTTTAAATGTTGTTGGGCTTGATATCCTAATAGTTTATTTAGATTTGTTGCATTTATGTTCATGAGCAGGATGGCTCTATCTTTTCTTTTCACATTTGGTATCAGGGTTGTGCTGGCTTCATAAATGAGTTGAGAAGTATTCCCTGTTTTTTTGCCCTTTCAAGGAATTTATGGACGGTTGATATTCCCCTTTCTTAAATGTCTACAAATTCACCAAATAAAACTTTAGAACCTGGAGTTTCCTTTGTGAGAGGTTTTTAATAACATATAATGTTTTAAGTAGATATGCCCATTAAGATATATAGG